TATCATGATAACCTAGTCTAAAACTGTGGCATTAAAAAATGGAGGGCTATGTGCATTCCTTCATAGAATGTTTTTCTTTTAATAGTTTATTACGATTTTCTTACCAGATATACAGAGGTTGGCATTTTCCTGTGGAATTCTTGACAAAAAAAATGTTTTCCCATTGGAAGATGGCCTCAGGGACTGACCCAGGACCCACTGGTGAATTTATAACTCACAGCTGGGCTGAGAATGTCTCTTCTCAGCCTTCACTATCTAAAAGGATAGTTCAGATCTTGTATAGTGGTGTTCTGTGGAAAGGTAATTAATGAGCAGTGGTGGGCACAGCTAACCAACAAGTTGGCTTTGCTAACTGCTAATTTGCTTTAAAAAAAAAAAACCATTAGCTTTGTTAGCGCTAAACCGCTAAACAGATATAAAAAACATTGGTGCAAGCTAACGCTAAAATGTAAACTTTTATCATACACTGCTGTCACTGACACTGTAACTGTCTGTAATGTGACAACGTTGTAAGTGAATACAACTCAAAACGGTTAAACAAAGTCACAAATAAATCGCCCATGTCCTGTTCGAAGGTGAGCTTTCAGAAATTAATATGGTCCATAAGAACCAAAGCAGAACTCTGCTGTGCTGAAACAGTGATGCGTTCAATGTGTGTTGGACGTCTGCCTCATGTCGTTTACTATAATGAGTTAACTCACTTTGGCAATCCTCTTTGTTGTTAACTACTGTTATAAACTACAAAGTTGCTGTGCATCATCATTAATATGCTCTCAGTAATAAGTCTGTTTGTAGTAAAGTAAAGATGTGTGAAACGTGTGAGAGAGTCACATCCCAGAGACAGTGTGAGTGTTGCAAAGCATGCTGGGTAGGAATTAAGTGTGCAATGTTTCTTACTGTTTACAATGTTTCTGAATGTGAAAGTGGGTTTTTCATGTTATTTCCATGTTCTGGTTTGGTTTGGTATTTATGTTAAAATTTCTGTTATTGGCTGTAAACTGACACCATGAGTCAGAGACGGTTTGTGGTAAATATGATGGAAAAAAAATCACTACAAGTGTGCATATATCACTGTGTGGTACTTAGCTTTGCTTATCTCTGCATAACATAGCATTTTATCGCTCTGTGTATGTCACCATTCTCCTATACACTTTAATGTAAAGAACTGATGAGTAGACTTGAATCTACTAAGCAGAAGGTTAGTTCCACTATTACCAGATGAGCAGAACCATGCATATCATTGTTAACAAGCAAAGAGTAACTAATAAGTAATTAGGATTGGACATTTATGTGGTTATCTGAAAATAGCAGCAGGGTCGTTTTGAAATCTTGCCGTGAATGTAATTCCAGCAGTGCTTGAATAAATGGGTCAAGTATGTTTATAAAAGGGCTACTTCCTGTGTAAACCCTTCTTCTGCTGCCAGTCCTGTGGCATCATGGTATCATTTCTTTTTAGTGGTACCTGCTGTTTAGAAGGGGGAATACATGTAGCTTAATTCATTTTCATGTAAACTGTACACTGCTCTTGATTCTCAAACATTCATAAAGTTAAAAGTTATCCTACAGCCTCCAGTATTAAGTTCTCCTATAGCCTTCGCTATCACGGTTTCTTACTCGATGGTGTAGAGGCAGGGCAGCCGGCTTGGGACCCGAAAGTCCCAGGCTCGATCCCCAGTCACTGCACATCACGTGGCGTCTCTGGGCAGCACGCCTCATCCCCAAAATGCCCCCCGGGTGCTTTCAATAGCTGCCCACTGCACCACCTGGTGGTGGATGGGTTAAATGCAGAGACTAATTTCGCCATTGTATGGAAACATACAGTGCTGACATTGTGATGACATTATTATTATTATTATTATTATTATTATTACTCTCCATCTAGGACACTAACAGGGCAATACTTGTTTTGGATGGGTTTTTTTTTTCTGTTAGAATTAAATCTGTTTCTTCAAAAGGTCTTTAAGAAAGCTATGTACAAAGGTAAGATGATAATTCTTCATAACCTTCCTCCAGAACCCCACTTTATAAAAAGACTGTATTGAATTTTTGATATAGCTTTAAGATGTTGGCCACCTCGACCTGGTTTTGGTGAATAGGCAAAGGATATAGAGAACACCGACCCTGCAGTGAATGAAATTCTCTTTAGGTTGTGTAATTTTTTTTAAACCAAACCATGTTTAACACCTTCTAAAGTAATGCATGCTTATTTTTGCCTGCAGCCATAGCTTTGTAAAGGGTTTTAACTTTATTTATTTATTCTGGGAAATAAATGATGTGGTAAAAGCTATGTGTGGGTGTGACAGTTGCTTGAGTCTCACATTTCTTTTGCCAGAAAAAAATACCCACTACCATGACAGTATGATATGCCTTGGCTGTATCAAGTTACGGCTTCACACCAGTGGATTCAGTGTATAGAATCCCCTCCTATGGATCCTCTCCCAGAAGTAGCCTCTCTTTGTGTGCTAAGCCTCTTTTATACTCCTTGGTTTATTAGGACAGAG